TAGGGCTCGCGGCGAGCGCGGGTGTATTCGGCATGTGCGTCGTCGAGTCGGATAGTTTGGGGTAGTCGTCGCGATGGGTGCCTTGACCTAGAACGAGCCGGACATGCATGTCTGGTTTGTTATCTATTGCTACCTCAAACTGACAAAATCTGAATAAAGCGGACGTCTATTTGGGGTCATGCGGTGAAGCCGTTCAGATGATGGCGCAGGGTCTCCTTTCCACATACGCCTCTCTGTTTGGAAGATGCTTTATTTTTTTTATTTTTGCGAATCTTGGTTTGGGATGTTCAAACGGCTAGTTTTTACACTTTCGGCAAAAGAGTTTGCTTCCATATGGGTTGAAGGAATCTGATCAATCTTCGCAAAAGGCTACCGTGTAAGAGCATCTTTAACAGGCGCCGGTCGTGCCGCGCGCAAAAAATAGATATGTCGCGCGCGTATCGTTCGGTTTGGCGCGGCGCGCAGCGCTGGCTCCAGCAGCCGCGCTAAAATGCACAGCGCGTGCGCCGCTCCAGCAGCGCGCCAAAATGCAGCGCGCGCGACTTGCACAAATAACATATGCATTCGAAAACAGAAGCAAAAAGATCAAAACAAACAAAAATAAATAGTTCAATTTCGTTTATTACAACTCAAACAAACAATTTTTATCGTTCAATACAACAAATAGTGCAATTAAACATAACAAATAGTTTAACAATACAATAACGAACGCACAAATCATGATGCTCTTTGTCGTCCATTCCATGCCCACCACTCAATGAGATCCTTCTGAAGATCATTATGCGCTGCGGGACGTCGAATGGTATGATAGGAGGCAACAAAACGGGCCACCCTTTTAGCCCTCCGTCGCACTCGCACAGGATGTCCCAAGAGCTCATACTGAGAGTAGTCTACATCTTGGCCACGCTCATTCTCGATGATCATATTATGCATGATCACACAAGCGTGCACTATGTACCAAAACATCTTCTGATCCCAAAATCTAGCCGGTCCACTCACAATAGCAAATTGGGCTTGCAAAATCCCAAAAGCTCTCTCCACATCTTTTCTAGCCGCCGCCTGAGCATTGTGGAAATCAAGATTTTTCTTACCTTCTGGCTTTTTCAACGGCTTGACAAAGGTTTGCCACTTTGGATAGATGTCATTCGCTAGATAATAGCCATAGTTGTATGTACGGCCATTTGCTACAAACTACACCGGTGGCAACTCCCCATTTGCAATCTTACTCATCAGTGGTGACCGGTTGACAACATTGATGTCATTCAAAGATCCAGGCATTCCAAAGAATGCATGCCAAATCCAAGTCTCTTGATCGGCCACCGCTTCAAGGATTATAGTGGAACCCTTTTTTTGGCTGTGGAATTGCCCATGCCATGCCTTTGGACAATTCTTCCAAGTCCAATGCAAGCAATCTATTGAGCCAAGCATGTCAGAAAAACCGCAAGCTTTGTTCATCGCTAAAAGCCTTGCGACGTCTTCAGCGTTGGGAGATCTCAAATACTCCTCGCCAAACACTTGCACAATTTCGACTGCGAAGCTCTTGACACACATGATGGTTTGGCTCTCACCCATAGCCAAGTGATCATCAACTAGATCAGCCGGTATACCGTATGCCAACATATGCAAAGCGGCTGTCACCTTCTGAAAGGTGCTACGCCCGAGCTCTCCGGCGGCATTCCTCCTTTGCTGAAAAAAGCGGTCATGGCTCGCTAGTTTCTCTGCAATGCGCCTGAACAACTCGGTGCTCATCCTAAACCGGCGACGAAAATACGACTCGGGGTATGTGGGATTCTCCGCAAAATAATGCCTGATCAATCTGTTGTGGGCGTCGATCCTATCCCTCCAAAATTTTTGACGACCCATAACCGAACCACCGTGCTTCGGTTTTTTATTAATATGCATAGCTAGGATCATTGCAAGATCCTCCTCCTCTTCCATATCAAATTCTTCTTCGGAAGAATCATACGACGAACTCATCTACAATGTTGAATACTATGCTATAAATACAAAACTACAATCAACATGCATGAAATTCATGGCTTTTGAGCAATACATACCTTCTAGGCGTTTTGCCGAACACCTTGCGGGCGCCGAGCGGCAGCGAGCGCGCGGGCGCTGTTCGTCGGAGGACTAGCACGCGCGCGGGGCTGCGGGACTAGAAGGGGGCCGGAGAAAGCGCGTGCGGGGCGGGGATAGGTCGCGGAAGCGCCGGAATGGTCGCCGGGTGGCGCGGTCGGCGGCGGCGTCGCGACTGGAGGGGGGTGGGAGGTGCGAGCGAGCGCGCAGGAGCGGGCGCAGCAAATAAGCGACGCGCGATTGCGTTTCGGCCCGCGCGCTGGACTACGTATGCCGCGCGCGCAGTTTTCGCGCGCCCGCTGGAGCAACTATTCCGGTTGCGTGCGCTAAAAGGGGGGATTTTGCGGCGCGGCGCTAGTTTAGCGCGCCTGTTGGAGATGCTCTAACAATTTCAAAAAAAATGTATCGAGCGACCATTCGCTCGGTCGCTGGGTTGTGTGGCTCAATTTTTACACGTTCGCTTGTGATGTAACTCTGCTAGCTTTGTTTGTTGTGTACCTGGCCATACCACGGGTCGGGCCGGACCTACAAAAGCCCGTAGCAGAAAATCTAGGCCCGAGCCCGGCCAGGCCCGGCCGTCAGACCTAAAAATTAGGTCCAAGTCCAGCTCGTGAGTGGAAAAGCCCGTCAGGCCGCACGCCTCTTCTCTAAAACGCATAAATGTCAAGCCCAAGCTTGACCTGACCTAGCATTCGGGCTCAAAATCTAGACCCTGGTCCCGCCCGTGGGAAAGATCGAGCCAAACCGGGTCGGATTTCCCATGGCCAGGACTAGTTTGTTGCATCCCAATGGACTATGTTGTCCCGCTTCTCATACTGTCCACTATTTTCTAGTAGTGACTTTGTGGGCGATCTAGACCGTGTGATGGAAGTTGATCCATGGAGGCGAACGTCAAAGTTCAATGTCCATACATATTTATATCTATCTATACCTGCTATTAAAGGGAATAGGTATTCTTGGTTTGATTTAGTCCTTTTCGTTCGGTTTGCACACACTAAGCAATCTGGCCCAGATACTTGTATGTTGATGGGCCTTTTATGGGCTTTCATAGAGACCGTGAAAAATAATTGAATCAAAATAAATCAAGATTGTTGGAATTAAACACAGGACCTCCTGTGTAGCTCTTCGATGTAACAACCAACGGCCTATGCGCCTTTCACATTTACTAATTCTAACTCGCTCTAAATATATAAGTGACAGTCATCATGTTTAGGGCGAGCTAATAAAGAAGGATTGTGGGCTTAAATAGAATATTTAAACGGATGTGCCTAATTAAAGAAAGGATTATGGATAAACCGGTGAAATAACTAAAAGAAAGATTGTGATCTTAATAAATTCTACATGAAGGATTTGAGGCAAAAAGGTAGGATAATTAAAATTTAAAAGGAAGGATCTGTAGGCTTCAATGTGTTGGAGCTACTAAATTAGAAAAGTAAGGATTTGATTTCCGACTAAAACAGGTAAGGACGCCATGGTAATTAACG